GAACAACTGGACGGAAAAATAATTCATGGGCACCAGCCGCTGTTCGGGAAATGAGCCCATGCTCTTATCCAGATCCCAGTAACCGACGGAAATCGAACCTGTATGTGTTTTTAAGGATCGGAGCTGACGGTAGGAGAGAATACTTCGCTGTTTGAAATAGTGCCTTCAGTCTCTTTACCAGGGTGCCTGGCAAAATATGGATATTTTTGCTTTGATAGATTTGATGACCTTTGAACCTGGCCCTTTTTTAAGTCGAACCAACTCCCCTCATCCCAGCGAATAACAGGTAACTCGTAACCCTTGTAATGTAAGGTTCTGTTCGAAATAAATGTGCAAGAAAGGATTATGAAGACAAGGAACAGGTGTTGTGTGGGAGGGATTTGACCACCGCTGAACAAAATTTTACCTTTCTTGTTGGTAGTTTTGTTCTTTCTGAAACCCTTTTTACAATAATATCTCAATGCTAACCACAAGGGTGATACTCGAGGGAAAATGGCTGCATTTTCTCTAAAACTTTCCGGTTGTAAACTGCAGTAAATATACAGAAAGAAGCAAAAAGAATCGATATCAAGATCTTGGGAGTAAAAGTGTTCATGTAATTGACTACAAATGGATTATGTACGAGGTACATCCAAAGGAACTCCTTTGTTACCGCATTTCATAATTTAATACAATGTCTGCTCTAGGTTTTTCCAAAATTACATTACTTCTAAAGTGGAAAGTGGTATAATGATTTAAAATAAAATTTAAAATGCATTTAAAAAAGGGGTATGTACAACTTGTAGCAAGTCAAAAACTTCAAAGGTAAAATATCCTTAGATTATCAGTAACACCAAAATTGAAACCTGGTATTTAGCTTATGCTTGAGGCTGTTCGGAAAATCATAAATTAAATTGTTGTTCGTGTCTGTGAAAATGACTCGATAATAAACCACACGAAGTTTCACACTGAATTTTTTACAAAAAGTTGCTGAATAATCCCAACGGAGACCATGTAAAAATAGTTAAAATGTTTTGTCTGCATAATGTCTTCCGTAAGGCCGTAACATTAGCTACTCAATATCCACAGACAATCTGTCATCTGATTTTAATCGGTATAAATC